AAATCAAGAAGGTTAAAGTTTTTTGAAGATATACAGTATCCATACAGGCAGACAGCAATACAAACAAGTGTGCAAAAAGTTTATTTTTTTTTAAATTTTATTTTCTCATGTACTTAATTTTAAATTTCAAACTTTGTGTATAAAATTTATTTTTTATTTAATAAATTGCATATTTTTGCATATTTTCCAAATTTTTACTGCATATTTTACCGCATATTATGATGTTTTTTGACGCATATGTATGCGCAAATTTGAGAACTTTTTAGCGCATAAAGTTCCGAGCCTTGGTGATTACTTACTGAGTTTGACAAATGTAGACGGTACACCAATTTGTAATACCCCACGTAAAACTTTTATTATTGGTAAGTTGATGAGAACAATAGTTTTCTAGTTAATTACATATGTACCAAGTATTGGCATATAATTCACTAGTAATATTTAACTACCAAAAAGTTAAACCTATTAAATAATTTTTGATTTTTAAAAATAATAACATTGTGTTTAATCATGAAAAATTATATTTAACAATATTATGCGAAATCATTTTTAATTTGTATTTGATGATATTTGTTACAGGATTTGCTGTTGATGTTAAATCCGTCTTTACTATCTCTGAACAACTTCTTGATGATATTCATTATAAGTACCTTTTAACATACAAAGTCTCACATGATCACTTTGAAATATTTTTTTAAAAAATTAGATAGCGTTTCGGTCACAATAGTAATGTAATCGAATTCAGAACATCAATGAAACAAATGCTATTGAAAAATTCTGTGACTTCATCATATGCCGCCAACTATATAGCTTTTGATGGTTCTTGCGAGGAAAGTGTTTTTGAAATCCGCTGGTCCAAAAGAAAATCTGGAAATGTTGAAAATGAAGAAGATAGTATATTACCTGATATTCAAACAAGCGAAATGATGGATTTGGTGTAATTAAAGAAAATATTTTATATTATATGTGTGGTTTTGTTGTAAGAAAAATTCTCATAAAGCTTAATTGTTTAACTTGTTATGAAAATTTATTAGAAAAATTTAGTGAGCATAATTATTCTCAAGCAAATGCTTATTCAACTTTTATTAACCTTAAGAATAGAGGGGGGTTGGTTAAATGTTCTGATGCTGTACTAAAAATAGTGAGATTTGTAGAAGAAAAACTTCTTGAATTAACATGTAATTTTGTTTCTCTTAAGTGTTCTTTAACAACTAAAATAATTTTTTATGCAAGAAATTATGTTTTCAATTTCAATATTTTTGTGAATGAAAGTTGTCCAGATGCTAATTTTTTGGAGAACCATAGATTAGAATTAGTTTCATTGATTTGTAATGAATATTTAAAAGTTAGACTACATCAGGTTACTAAGTTAAAAACAGATAAAATTATTAGAAAACGTTGTTTACTAAAAAAACTAATATTATTTAATAACCAGTAGGAATTTGTTTAAATATACTTTTAAAATCTAATTTACTGCATCATTTTCTTTTTATAATCTTTTTCTCCTAATATATTTTTAGGAATTACGCTTAAGACCAATTTTTAGTAAGTATACATCAAGGTATGGGTGTGATTACTTGGAAAACAAACCCTACTACAGTATATCAGTACATAAACATATATTTTATATATTTTATTTAATACATATGTTATAGCCACTTAGTGAAATTGACCATTTCATGATATGGTCACTTTTTTCATGAAACGGTCGTTCCAATTTGACATCGTGTAATTTTTTTTCATAATCTGGTCGTTCACTTTGTGTACCGAAAATATATTTTATATTTATCAAAATTTTATAATAATTTTTGTTTGTTACATTGTGTAATATGGTATGTATATTATATTAAGTTAAGTTTTGATATAATTAATAATACGAGTAGTAATATGTTGGTAATTAAACAAATTATATAATAATTTTAATAACTTATACATAATATAATTTATCGTATAATTAATAATTATTTAGTTTTGTTTTTTAAAACAAGCACAACGTTTAGTTTGACAAGCACTTTTGCATGTACAACTCAAAAATCTTTGACCTCCAAATTTAATTTTAACTGTTTCACGCAAAGTTAATTCGTTTTGCTTGTCAACTCGATGAGCAGATATAAAATGTGATGTGGCACGCTGCATATTTCCAAAACTTAACCATCCTTTAATTCAACCATCTTCAGTTCCTACTCTATACAACTCATTTTTTTTCTCAACTATAACAGAAATCATGCGTGCTGGGTCCAAAGGGACTCTGAATATATCTCTCACCATATTATATACGGACAACCATCTACTACATCACTAGAAAAGGTACTTCCGTTCAAACTATCAACATCTGAAGACAGTATTCAACAAATTCATATGAAGGTTCGGCGGAATAATGTCAAATATTTAAGAAAACGCAAAGTAATCATGGATAAGGGAAAGACTTTTCCTACATATCAACCTGGTCAGTGGACATTGGTAAAAAATCATTCTTTATCATCCAGCCACGACAGAGAGATATCCAAGCTCTTCGATATCTATCAAGGTCCCTACGAAATCAAAGCCGTATACAATAACAACACCGTCGACATCAAGACAACCAGTTCAAAATTCACTCGATACAACTTTCGCAAAATTCGCCCATACTTCCCTTCCAAGAAGGAGTCAATTTCATCCAAAAACTGATAAACTCTTATCTGTATCTGTATATATCCTTACTCTTTAATAATTATTTTTTCCATGTATAATCTAGGGATGTCCAGCTCTCCGAATAGACCATCTTTAATAGTCAAAATTCCCTTGTCTCGTATTACCAATCAAACTTTCACCACTCACTGTCTCAATAAACTACAAATTCAATTTTCTCAAATCGACCTTTCCAAAATTCAAGCACAGCAAAAAAGATATCAAGATTCAAAAATCACCCGTTATAATCTTCAATCTAAAATAAATCTCCCTCCGTCAGTAAAATTAACGCCCAAAGACCCTTTAGCCGAAAACTCACTCACTTACATGGAATTAAAAGCTCGCGAACTCATGGTTGCGGCCACCACCACCAACTTAGATCCACACCGTAAAGTTCAAATCCAGAAAGCTCGCGAGCTGATTACGGACAATTCCATAGTCAGCAACAGGAAGATGAATCAACTGCTTTATAAAGAAAACGCCAGAATCAAAAGACAACAAAAAAGGTCCACACTATAAAATTAAAAGTTGCCACTCACACATTCTTGTCACCTTTTAAGGGGGCAATGTAGGTGAACCAAATATGTGTCGCCACCTAGCGGTGTTCCGATTGCGCAACCGGCGCCGACGCACCTGCTCTCTTTGCGATGCGCGGCGCGTCGCACCTTTCGCGTCACTTGATAGTTAATATAGAGTATTCTTCTTTCACCGGCCGTTTTCTTTCCGTACTTTCTTTTACATTTTTTAATCTATATAATTATTTTCATTCCTTCAACTTATAAAAAATCATCAAAATACATCTTTAATCACCTATCAAAACTACTCCACGTCATAACACATCTCAACTTTAATAAAAAAAACTACGAAAAACTAAAACATCATCAATCCACATTCTGCTATCCACATCGAGGTCGAACGCGCTTAAGTACCCGGCCGAAGAGCCACAAAATCAACCCTCTCGCAGTTGCCTAGCTGAAATTCTACGGATACTATGCATACAGAATACAATTAGTTGTATTTTACTGTATGTGACATAGTACACCGTAGAAGAGTAACCTAAACAACTTGCCAGTTGACCGCCATCGACCCAGCAACCTGACCGATAGCCGCCATCAACAGTACCGCTGCCAGTTGTTTCTTCCGCCATCTCAAGTCCAGGACCCCGCCGCTTGTTCAGCCGCTATCCACGTTGCCGTGGACACCCAAGCCGTTCCTACGACTTTAGAGGCCCTGCTTTCCTCTACCCATTCTACATTTTCACCTACCCTTTCAACACGTTTTCATCTGCCCATTCAACCATTTAAAAAATCTTCATCAGTAATATAACCTCCCTCTAAATGCTATACATGTTTATGTCACATTTGAAAATTTTGTTTGTTAAGATAAAAAGAAAAATTGTTATTTATACTATAAAAAACTGTCTTATATACATTGAAATAAGATATACGTACACTTTGGCAATCCCACACATACAGGAGAACCAAACGTTACAGTATACTAGTAGCAGGCAATGTGAATATGCATTAATTGCTGGTCAAATTAAGCTGTCTAGTCATATAGTTCAACGTATTCTTCGATTAATTGTATAAATTCTACCAATTGCCACTGAAATAAAATTAAAATATTTTAACCCTGGTTATTATTTATTAAAAAAAAAATGTACTTACATAATTGATTGTTTAATTTGTTGAAAGATTAAAATATAATATAATATAGATATACAAATGTAATATGTATATTTTATTTTATTTATTAATTTATAATCATCAGATAGGTACCAGTAGAGAGCAATATGAAATTGCATTAGTTGTTGGTCAAATTGAACTGTCTAGTCATACAGTATAGTTTATACTGTATAGTTCACTGTTATTTTTGATTAATTACACCAATAATACGAATTGCCACTGAAATAAAATTAAAATATTTGAACCATGGTTATTATTTGTCGATTTATTTGTCGAGGGTCATTTAATAATTTGCAAAAAGAGAATGATTTTTTAAAATCTGAATTAAATTATTTGCGTGATAAAATGAACTCTACTGATCAAAATAACATCGATCTAGTAAACGAAGTTAATGATAGATTATCTAGATCACGTAATATATTAATTTTTAATACTTCTGAAAACGATATTATAAGTGATGAAGCAGTTGTTAATGATTTAATATCTAACATGAAAGTATACGTATCTATTTCTAAAATCCAAATAGGTAACTCATCAATTAAAAATCGGCCATTAGGAATTACATTCAATGAACCATCAGATGTAACTACTATTCTAAAATCAAAATCAAAATTATGCAATACAGATAAATATAAAAATCTTTGGATAAATTCGGACCTGACAACTATCCAACGTGAACAAATGAAGTCTCTTCGTCTTGAACTTCAGCAAAAGAGGAACAACGGGTAAAGAAATTGGATTATTAAATACCTTCATGGAGTTCCCACACTTTTTCAAAAAAACTGATTCAGCCTAGGCAAAGTAATATGAAAAAATGTAATATTAGTAATAGTTTTAAGTTTAATTCCAAAAATAATGTTAATTCATATAAATCTAAAATCAATTATATAAATGGGTATTATCAAAATTATAGAGGTCTGCGCACTAAATTACATGTGTTACGTGCCACCGGCTCGATTTCAAGTATTGCAAGTCGAAGATGTATTTAATTTAAATAAACATGAGACTTTTAATACATTAATACATTTATTTTAATACTCAAAGTGTTTAACAAATTCTAATACAAAGTGGCGTGAAGTAGCTTGTTGTTCCGTGACTAGAACTCATCTGAATTGTGGTCATTTTGGTCCCTCTTTTATATGGATTGATTGACGTCATTGGTCTTGTTGTTTCGGCAATACTCAGCAATAGGCCTTGCTCTTTTGACCTAATTCACTATTCTAGGAATACGGATTAACAGTTTATTATATCTTGTTATTTCGGCAATACTCAACGATAAGCCTTGTCCGTTTGACCTACTTCATTATTCTAGGAATCAATTTTATTACATCTCTTAATATTACTACTCGGTTTATGACCAATTAGTTAAATATAACGATGTGTAATACATATAATATTGTGATACGCACGATTTCTATTTATACGTGGTTCCAGGAATATGGTAGCCCATAACACATGTATTAAGATATAATATACCACTATTTAAAGTAGATTATTTTGTATTAACAGAAACTTGGTTATCAACTGATATAACAAATAAGAAGCTTGTGTTTGATAATTTCTATGTATTTTTAGTAGACCGGAGCGATAAAACATGTATTTGCAAGAGA